AGCGAGTGTTTGAAATAACCTCTGTTTGAGATGGGAAAATTATAGAAATGGACATTCTTTAAAAATGTGATGTATATGGTGACTACAAATAAACAGAAACAGACAACTGAATATGTATGTCCTCATTCTTTTGTGAAATAACAGTAAATACCACTTTACTTCTGTGTGACTAATTTTCAATCCTTTCAAATTAATTAATTATGATCAATGTATCACTTATTATTGTAAAACTGGTAAAATATTGACGCTTTTGGATTTAAATCTTTAAGTAAACAACAAAAAATGCAAACAAATGGCCGCTTTTATCACGTTCGTTTTGTGATCTCGCTATAGTTCCAGATTTATTCTGATAACTTCTCTTTGTTGGTAAAATTATGGGGTTGCATGACGTTGTTCCAAAGAGGCATGTAAAGGGCGTGGCTCGGTGCTCGGAGCTACAGGTCTGAGGCTATTGGCCCCGCCCGGCCCGTTTAAAGCACTAGCTTGCACTGGCCCCACAGTGGAAAAGCAGCTACTGATTACTAATAGTTTATGGCGAGTCTTCACACACCTCACAGCCAAGTCTGTAATTTCTAGGCTTGTAAGTATTAGATATCTATTTCCTTTTGGATTGCACAATAGGGAAAGAATGTGTCCCTAATTTCTGTATACATAATACACAAAGTGTCGCCTACTTGCTCTCTTTTTATTTTCTCTCTTACTGAATTCCTGAATGCCCGTGTGGGATGTGCCAATTGTTGCAATTTTAAGTGATCATTTTAAGTGAAAACAATAAAAGCTGTATTGGACACATGGTCAGAAGTATATTCATTCTATGGCAGCTTTTAATGCAGCTTTAATGACAGTTTATAGCTGCAATTTAAAGTTCTAATTAAAGTGATAAATGTCCTCTTTACATATGGTGAATATATTTAGCCGTTAATGCAATCCGAAGGCAGACTTTTGTTATAATGAGTGTGTTTATGTTACCCTCAGCAGCTCTCTTAAAGAACACTTTGCAACTTCCACAAGTGAGGGCTCCATAGTGACATCCAGATGCTTCGTCTGAGCAGATTAGGCATATCCTTTGTGGAGGAAGGAAAAACTCCATTGGGAAAACATCACTCCTCCCTCCATCAAACCTAAAAATAAAAACACAGCGTAAACTAATGGCATGACAAAACACTGACATAAATGTTCTGTTCTCTGTTATATCTGCAGAAGAAAACAAATATGCTACAAACATGGAACTTGTCCAAAAATATGAGGTTCATTATCAGTAATTTGAACAGAACATGCATACCAGCTTTCATCCAAACAAACACAGAAATGTAGCAGAAATGGGCGCGCATGTGTACATTCAGTTGATCGAGCAGAATAAAAATAGTGTAGATTGTAGCTGAATTTCTCTGAAGTTTTACATCGGTTGTCAAGTGTGAGGGTGCTAAATTAGAAATGTGCAGGTCCAGCACTCAGTGATAACATTCCCTATGAAAATGCACAATTGAAAGCAGGTGCATGTGCCTGTCTGTGTGTGTCATTGGTTAAATTATGGTGGTAAGTAGAGGTGACATTATCCTAATGCAAGTGCCAGGTCTCTAATGAAGGGTAATAACTGCTTCATTCCTTGAGGAACGATGGAAAGATTCTGAGTTAAAGAGAGTCATTCAGCATGATTATTCTGTTCTGATGATGGCAGCCAATTCTGTCACCACACGCAGTGAGAAAGGAAAAGTGAACAAAATGACTGCGATTAGGACAAGGGCATATTTCTGATATTTTCTTGGCTGTCAAAAAGAAGTGGTCAAATGTTGTACATTATAATAACTTTTTGTAAAAGAAAGAGTCAAATAAAGAAATAGAGTACTCAGGCATATGTCTTTATGTCTTTAATGTCTAATAAAAAAAAAAAATAATAATAAATAAATAAAAATCTAGCAATAGTGCTATATCAGTGTTTATTGGGAGGATCCCTTGTCTCCGCCTCCAGCCTCTGAGCCCCGCACTCCACCTCGGCCTGCGACCCAGCGGCTCCACCATGGCTCCTAGCTCCCTCCTCTCCACCGTGGCCCGTCAGTCCACCAGCTTCGCCAGGCTCCCTCGTCCCTCCGGCTCCGCCTTGGTCTGTCGTCAACCATCTGCCGCCTCGGGACTCTACTCCTCCAGCTACACCTCATCCCTCTGGTTCTGTCAGGCTCCTCCTTCCCTCCGGCTCCACCACGGCCATCCGGATCCCCGCCTCGGTCACCTGAGCCATCTGCTCCGCCTTGGCCCACCCCTCCGGATCCTCCCTGTCACCTTGGCTCTTTGGCTCTCCATCTCCTCCTTGGGCTCCACCACCACCTGCTCCGACGCCATCGGTCGACCCCCTGGAGTCGGCAGCCCTTCCTCCACCATGGCTCTTCCCTCCGTCGGCTCCACCATGGGCCGCCATCAGGGCTGTGGCCTGGGTCACACCTGTCTCCTCCTGCTCCCTCCTGGCTCCTCCCTCCGTCAGCTCCACCCTGGACTTTGGTTGTCGTGGTCCTCCTCCCGGGTGTCCGTCCTCCGCCAGAGCCTCCACCTGTCTTGTCTGCCTGCCTTTCTGCCAGCCCTTCGCCGTCCTCGGTCACCATCCCTTCTCCAATCCTTGTGTCCTCCTCCTATGTCCCCCTCCGTCCCTCCCTTTGTCTCCATGGCGTGAGGTCAAGCCTTCTGGGAGGGGGGTGATCTGTCACACCCCATTGGACCTTTGTTCTGTTTTCATTCCTCATGTGCTCTGTGTGACCTACAGTATGTGTTTGATTGTGTCATTTAGTTCAGGTGTGTGTCATTAATTATCTTCATTTGCTCTCGTATTTAAAAAATGTAGTCTGTCTGTCTTTGTCTGGAAATTGTTGATGCTACCCTGTGTGTTAGATCCTCTTCTTTGTGTGAATTACCATTAAAAGGATTTGTTATAATCTTCGTCGTGCCTTCGTCTCCCTAACAGAAGTATCGTGACACCATGCATGCTCTGTGCCCATTTCATTATTTTCTAATAATAATCATCATCGTCATCATGGCTATTATTATTTTTAATATAATAATAACTAATTAAAACTAATATTTAACATTACATATTAATTCATTACATTAAATCATTACATATTATTGTTCATAAAATAACATTGGTTCCCAATACGTATGATTATTTAAAAATGTGTATGTTAATGAATTCCAATCATTCGTAAATGAAGCGAGCGTGCACGCTCATTCTCAATTACCATAATCCCCGCCCATGAATTCCGATGACAACTATATATGGGCATCATCATATTATGAAACGAAAATAAGGATTCGTATATGCTGTCTTTGTTTCTTTTTTTTCTTTAAGTATTATTGATTTTTAATTTTTTTTTTCTATGTAATGTAAACCCATTCCTTTAATTGTGTTATCTTTTTGGATGTCTTGTTAAAGTTGTAAATGTTGCATGTTATGTCTTTAATGTCTAATAAAAAAAAAAAATAATAATAAATAAATAAAAATCTAGCAATAGTGCTATATCAGCCAGTAAGTGTTTATTGTTATGCCTCATTCTGGCCATTTTATAGAAAACCATTTCCTTCCCTGAACCCTCTACCTGTACCCACCCACCCTCCCTCTCCTGCCTCAGCTCTGCCACTGCTGCGTCCTGGAAGCCCCTCTGCTCACCCTCAGCCCACCATCTGTGAGGTGGGATCGCAGCGGTTCTGCCAATCTCGACTTGGCTGGAGGATCCCTTGTCTCCGCCTCCAGCCTCTGAGCCCCGCACTCCACCTCGGCCTGCGACCCAGCGGCTCCACCATGGCTCCTAGCTCCCTCCTCTCCACCGTGGCCCGTCAGTCCACCAGCTTCGCCAGGCTCCCTCGTCCCTCCGGCTCCGCCTTGGTCTGTCGTCAACCATCTGCCGCCTCGGGACTCTACTCCTCCAGCTACACCTCATCCCTCCGGTTCTGTCAGGCTCCTCCTTCCCTCCGGCTCCACCACGGCCATCCGGATCCCCGCCTCGGTCACCTGAGCCATCTGCTCCGCCTTGGCCCACCCCTCCGGATCCTCCCTGTCACCTTGGCTCTTTGGCTCTCCATCTCCTCCTTGGGCTCCACCACCACCTGCTCCGACGCCATCGGTCGACCCCCTGGAGTCGGCAGCCCTTCCTCCACCATGGCTCTTCCCTCCGTCGGCTCCACCATGGGCCGCCATCAGGGCTGTGGCCTGGGTCACACCTGTCTCCTCCTGCTCCCTCCTGGCTCCTCCCTCCGTCAGCTCCACCCTGGACTTTGGTTGTCGTGGTCCTCCTCCCGGGTGTCCGTCCTCCGCCAGAGCCTCCACCTGTCTTGTCTGCCTGCCTTTCTGCCAGCCCTTCGCCGTCCTCGGTCACCATCCCTTCTCCAATCCTTGTGTCCTCCTCCTATGTCCCCCTCCGTCCCTCCCTTTGTCTCCATGGCGTGAGGTCAAGCCTTCTGGGAGGGGGGTGATCTGTCACACCCCATTGGACCTTTGTTCTGTTTTCATTCCTCATGTGCTCTGTGTGACCTACAGTAAGTGTTTGATTGTGTCATTTAGTTCAGGTGTGTGTCATTAATTATCTTCATTTGCTCTCGTATTTAAAAAATGTAGTCTGTCTGTCTTTGTCTGGAAATTGTTGATGCTACCCTGTGTGTTAGACCCTCTTCTTTGTGTGAATTACCATTAAAAGGATTTGTTATAATCTTCGTCGTGCCTTCGTCTCCCTAACAGCAGTATCGTGACACCATGCATGCTCTGTGCCCATTTCATTATTTTCTAATAATAATCATCATCGTCATCATGGCTATTATTATTTTTAATATAATAATAACTAATTAAAACTAATATTTAACATTACATATTAATTCATTACATTAAATCATTACATATTATTGTTCATAAAATAACATTGGTTCCCAATACGTATGATTATGTAGTAACAAATATTTTTTACAAAATCATGAAATCATGAAAAGGAGCTGGGAGCATAATTGAATAGTATAATATTAATAATTTAATAGTAATATTCATAATAAAGTATATTACTATTATTATGCTCTTTAGTTCATAATATTAGCCATAAATACCATAAACATGTATGCTCTATGCCCAATTTAGTATTTTGCGATAATAATAATAATATTATTACTATTATTAATAATAATAATGGGGTCAATCGTGGCCTAATGGATAGAGAGTCGAGTCAGACTTGTAACCCGAAGGTCACGGGTTCCAGTCTCCGGTCCGGCAGGAATTGTCAGTGGGGGGAGTGAATAACCAGCGCTCTCTCCACCTACAATACCACGACTGAGGTGAGACCCTTGAACAAGGCACCGAAACCCCAACTGCTCCCCGGGCTTGGCTGCTTACTGCTCCGGGTGTGTGGTCACGGTGTGTGTGTGTGTGTGTTCACTACTGTGTGTGTGCACTTGGATGGGTTAAATGCAGAGCACAAATTCCGAGTATGGAACACCATACTTTGGCCACACGTCACTTCACTTTCAATAATCACAGCTATTTTATTAACAATGCAACAATTTTATTTTTTGAAAATAAATATTAAGTGAAACTCATTTTAATGTTAAAAATGAATACTAATAGATTGTTGTTGTTCATAAAATAATGGTAATTATATAGTAACAAAAAAAAAGAATGCAACAACCAAAAAATAAGACTGGCAACATGCAGGAAATAATTACATAATAAATGATGAAAGAGGAGGAACAACAAAAACCAGACAAGGGTGATGTTTTCACATCTGCACAGTAAGGAAACACTCGAGGCTGCAACAATGTTTATGAATCTCCTTGCAAGCATATGGACCCTGCTGTTTTTGATTCTGTCGGGTAAGACTTACTGCTGAGTTCTCTAAGACTGAGAATATATAAGTCGTCTAAGCATGCAGAAGAAAGTTGTTTAGACTGTAGAACCAGCTGTTTCAAATTAGATTCCTTCACAATTGCTATGCTTCCATTTCAGGCGCTCTTGCTGCTGACTGGATAGTGCATGTTCCCATGGATCCAGTCTATACTCCTCTTGGTTCTTCTGTAGTTCTGCAGTGCACCTATGACTACCCTGAGGAGTCCGACCAGGGAATACTGCGCAAAGTGCTGTCAGAGATGTGGTGTCTGAATGAAAGCCGCTGCATTACTCCAAGATACGTGTACCACAGTGCAGGGATATTCCCTGAGCCCTCATACCAGGGCCGAGTCAAGTACTTGGGGCAGACGGGGAGCAAAAATTGCTCTCTGATGATTTCTGATGTGAGGTCAGAAGACAGCGGCGTGTACATGTTCCGGTTCATCACCGACCATCTGAAGGCCAAGCTACCAGGACAGAAAGGAGTGAATCTACAGGTCACAAATCAGACAGAAAGTAAGAACAGTTTCTTATGCTCTGTACATGCAATGTTTTATCTCATATTGCACAAAAATAAAGGCTCCAAAAGGAGGATTTTGCATAAAATAAACATTTTGGATTCCCCAAAGAACTTTTCAGTGAACTTTTTTTTCTTAGTGTAAAGACAAACCTTTTTGTGCATTTGAATGATTCCATGGCTGTTAAAGGTTCTTCATTGAACTATTTAAAAAAAGTATATATATATATATATATATATATATATATATATATATATATATATATATATATTCCAGGAAAGCCTGGAAATCACAAATCACAATTTTAATATTTCCTAACATTTTCAAAATGTATAAGGTCCCTTAAGCAATTTTCATTCTGTTCGTATCTTTATGAATGTATAGATCATATAAAATTTTATAGCATATAATAGCACTGATTAGAGTGGCATTTATATTATTTATATGTTAACACTTTAAACAAAGGTCTTATTAGTTACTGTTTGTTATTGCATTAACTAATATTAACTAAAAAGGAGCAAATAAATGTTACAGTATCTTTGCTAATAAAAACACAACTATTTATTGCTAGTTCATGTTAGCTCAGGTCTATTAAATTTTAATCATTTATTAGCAGAATTTTATTAAGATTAATTTAGTACTAATATAGAAGGATTTTTCATTGATAGTGTGTTAACTAAAGCAGTTAATAAATTAAAATGTTAATAATGGTACCTTATTTTATTTTATTTTTTATTTTATTTATGTTTGGCATTTTATTGTTTACCAACAACAATGAAATATAGTTTATATAGTTTAATATATCCAATTCATATCTAAAATTAAGAATCTTGACGGTTGACAGACATGTATGAGAACATAGCCAAACCAAATGAATTGGTCAATATCCTTTGTCTGCTTTTTTACTCAACTCATAGAGTAAAAGCAAAACTTCCTTTTTTTTAGCCCACCGCAAATGTCAGCTCTTCACAAGAAGACATGTTTGCACAAAGCAGAGGCACTTCCTCAGAAAAATCTGTCTTGCTTTCATGACCTTCACTGCGGGAGGTTTATTTCAAAAACAGTTAATCACATTAACAGAGGCACTTCCTCAGAAAAATCTGTCTTGCTTTCATGACCTTCACTGCGGGAGGTTTATTTCAAAAACTGTGACCAGTTAACATCACATTATTTCGCACAAATGAACAAATTTGTCAGCCACATTCATGACACTTTTAAATGTGTGAATACTGTGGTATAACCAAGTAGAGAAGAAGTCATTGTGTGATTGTAAACTAGCCTGTTAATGCCTTTCTAGATGATATGTTGTAATAATAATATTTCTTCACAGCAAGGAGTGCATCTTCATTCACTACTGGCATTGTGCTTGGAATTATTATCATGGTTATCATAATAGCAGGCATTGTGATAGTCATCAGAAGGAAGTCACGGTAAGCAAATCATCTACTCAATAAGTGTCTTGTCTGGCTTCATTTCTGGTCTTATAAACTATGGGAATATGGCTTTGTTTTTCAGGGGAGAGAGGTCAAGACCACTTTAAACAAGTTATTACCACAGAGGATGAAAAAAACGTGTGACTCTGATCAAAACAGAGATGTAAACCAATAGTTCTGCTTTTTTCTGGTTTGTGTGCTACATTTTACATTCATTTATGCATTTTTTGCATCCATCACAGTCTATTATTTATCTATTTAAATTATTTTCTGCATATCAAACGGCACAATGTTTCATTCATATTTTATTTCACCTTTAGTATTATCGTATTGTATCTTACATTTTGCAAGTCACTGCTGCTGTGTTGCATATCAGGGTGAACACTGTCCTCAGCCACTGAACTAGAGACTGAACAACACGTTTTCTTCACAGAGTCTGTAAAAAGAGACAATAATGGTTATGTTTAGAAAGTGAGTCATTTATTATGCCAGCAGGAAAGATACAGTGGATTCTCACATTGTAAATCATAGAAAATTGCCTCTTGTTCTATCCTCAATTTTAATTAAAAAAAGCACTTGGTATTGTTTATAATCACCTCACAAATGAAAAAACATTCATTAAGGGAACAGGTCACCCTATAAAAAACATGATTATCAATCTGTTGTTATTTACTCACCCTTGAATCTGTAAAGAATCTTCACACAGTTCCAGGTTGTTAAAAAACAACAACAATGAATTTCCCATGTGGTCTCTGTATTCTGAAATGCCAATAATGCCAAAAATATGCATAAAGCTATTGTTTTTCTGTTTTTATTTTTTGGTATGATGTGACCAGGTCAAAGGTAAATTTTCTTGAATAGAAACCGCTCAGTACTTAGTATTTTAATAAAATTTTCAGCAATTGCAATAAATTGTGTATTATTGCCAGAAAACAGAAAACAGACTCTTTGTTGCCATTGTAAGAAATTATTTATTTGGAGCTTCTCGTGAATTTATCATGTCAATTAAATTGAATGTTTAAGTGGGATGCGTTTAATCGTGTCACACTCAAACATATAGCAGGTACACTACCTTTCAAATGTTTAGGGTCAGTAAAATTAGTTTTTTGAAATAACTTTTTTTTTTCAGCAAGGGTGTATTAAATTGATCAAAAGTGACAGTAAAAATATTTATAATGTTCCAAAAATTTCTATTTCAAAAGTTATTTTGAACTTATCAAAGAATCCTGAAAAGAATGTGTTTCCACAAAAATATTAAGCAGCACAACTGTTTTCAACATTAATAAGAATAAGAAGTCCTAATATTAGACTGATTTCTGAAGCATCATGTGTCATTATATATTTTAATAATATTTCACAATATACATGTTTTTGCTGTGCACTTGATCAAAATAAATTAAAAAAAGAACATAAGAGACTTCTTTCAAAAATATTTAAAATAAATCTTACTGTCCCCAAACATGTGAACAGTAGCGTGTCGTTTTAAACAGCTGGATTTTATTAGGGCAAACTGCAGCTGGACACAATTAAAAAGAACAGTGGGGATTTTTTCTACTTTTTCAAGTCTCTGACATTCAGGCTACATCAAGTGGTCCATAAGTGCATATAATTTTAAAAAAAAGTCCCTGTGTGGTTTTACAATTTCTTCCATCAGTTGACCGCTTTAGACTCCAGATTCTTCCATCTCCACTCTCGGTTGCTTGGCGAGAATAACAACATTAGGACCATCTTTGAGCTTCTTGTCTCCATCTAGAGGAATGTTTGTGACCTTCGCCTGGTCCCGACTGTAAATAAAGATGACAAACACAACAACTATGGCATTAATATGACAGAGGACTGGCATAAACCAGCACACATTGACTGTGTAATTGTGTTTAACCTGGGCATGTGAGAATAATGCACCGTAATGTAGTTGATTTTTCCCTGTTCCTCAGTGCTCTGAGCGGCTTCTTTCAGGGGCACGATGGAAGGGTGGCTACTTTCATAAATCTCCTCTGGCTCTTCCTGAACCAGACACAGAATAAAACACTTATAAGAGTTAATTTACTATCCATCCTTAATATCAGAACTACAATTAGTGTATCACAAATCATCATGCAATACTATTTCTGGTAGATTCTCAAACTTTCAAACACATGCATGATTGTTTTGGGGTTGATATTAACAATTAATTGTGCAATGGAAGACAATGATGCGGAGACTTTTTTTATTGAGAAAAGTAGAAACCTAAAAGTTATGTAATGATTTTACTACATACTGAAAAGTTTACACATACTTTTAGTGTGCTGGATACATATGTGAATTATACAGAACATATAGGCTGTGTTCCAATTCACACATTTACAGTATACTACAGAGACGGACATAATAGTGGAAGGAGATCTGAGCAAAGAAAACTCACCGGAATGTCTGACATTTTTGTGCTCTTGAGGAGAAACGTCTCTGAAGTTGATTCACTAAACAGAGTATTGTCCACTGGCAAGTCAACTAATGGTGAACACTGTTTTTTAGGAGAAACATGGCAATCGATTAATATGATAAATACAGATTAGATTCAATTCATACGATGAGAATAAGATATATAAAAATGACCCGTTTTTCTTCCTCAAGATTTTCAGTGTCCACGCGATGCATGTTTTTACTGCAAAAGAGATGTGAAATGATGTGTGCAAGATCAGATGAGAAGATCAGATATTTACTATTAAAGCCAGTAAACGTAAAATCACCTGATCATGACGACCACGGTCAGAGATATTAATCCGACAGAAACGCCCACTGCAGATGCCAATGCGATCACCTTCAGTCGGCCTGAACATATAAACCACAGCAACTCTATCATGGGCATTGTCACGAATCCGGTCAACGAACTTTCCTATTCATTGACTCTCGCACTACACACTGTTGCACATCACCCCGGACTACATTTCCCATCATGCATTGCACTGATTGCACTCAGCACGAATTGCACACACCTGTTTACACTGATTGCACCCAGCTGTTTCATATCACTCCCTCACTATTTAACACTCACTCTGATCCCTTCCCTCGGCCGAGTATTGTTTCAGCATTTATCACTCTCCTAGAGATAGCTACCTTACGGAGCCCTTGTCATTGCCTTAGCCTTAGCCTTAGCCATTTGCCTTAGTCTTAGCCCTAGTCATTAGCCTTAGCCTTAGCCCTAGTCATTTGCCTTAGTCATTAGCCCTAGTCTTAGCCTTAGCCTTAGCCTTCTCGGTTTCTGATCTTCGCCTGGTTCCCTGGATTCACCCCTTTTGTCTTGCCCCTTTTGATTCTGTCTGCCGATCGTCGACCTGTGCTAGCCCTAGGACTATTCTTGTGTTTTGCCCACCATATACCTGTTTGCTCTCATCTGACCCATGCCTGCTGTATGACCACGTCTCTGCCTTTGTCTAATAAAGCTCTGCGAATGGATCCGCAAGTCTCACGTCTCGTCAGCCCCGTAACAGGCATACAGTACATGCACATCATTCATCTGATAAACAGCGGTAAGCGGTAACTATATTTATGTCCAGAAGTTCCTCTCTATACAAACACACACACACACACACACACAACTACAGTTTAAATGTTTACGTTTTTGAAAGAAGTCTCAAAATACAGTAAAAAGAATAATATTGTGAAATATTATTACAATAAAAAACTTTTTTCTATTTTAAATAATATATTTAAAATGTAATTTATGTAGTTTTATATAAAGCTGAATTTGCAGCATTTTTACTCCAGGATTTAGTGTCACATGATCCTTCAGAAATCATTCTAATACTCTGATTTGCTGCTCTGCTGTGTGTTATGCACTGACCTCGAACTTTCACCGTCAGAACTGCGGAGCTGTGTGCTCCGATGCGGTTGCGGGCCTTGCAGTAGTACTGGCCGCTGGCTCCAGGGCTGACCTCAGCAATGGTGTAGCTGGGACCCGATCGAGTTTCCCAGGCGTCAGCCGCATTGATCCGGTGCCAGGTGTAGTTCTCCACTGCCGGATTGGCCTGACTGATGCAGGTCAGCGTCAACGAGCTGCCCGCTTCGATCACAGTGGAAGGCCGAGCCAGCACAGAGGTGTTTTTGGGGGCATCTGAGAGAAAGAGAGAGAGAAAGAGAGAGGTGGGGAGGTTAAATAAAAGAAGGGAATCCTTAGACAACTGGAGGACTGATCCAACAAATTTAGCAGTTCATAGAGGTATATAAAGTGCGTACAGTATCCTTATTTTGCAATGTGGAAGTAACCTATTTTCTGTGAATGTGCAAGAATTCCCATTTATTAGCCACAACAAGTAAATAACTAGAAGTGCATTAAATGGTCTGATTATTGACAGTAAAAACCAGTGTGTATTTTATGGAAGCTTGATTGTACTACAGGATTAAAAAAACTAAAAAGTTAATTGCGACTTTTTATCTGACAATTCAGACTTTATCTCACAATTGTGAGTTATATATAAACATAGGGATAGAGAGATCTAAACTCAGATTTGCGAAATATTAAAGGGGTCATATGATGCAATTTCAAGTTTTCCTTTCTCTTTGGAGTGTTTCAAGCTCTTGGTGCATAAAGAAGATCTGTAAAGTTGCAAAGACTAAAGTCTCAAATCCAAAGAGATATTCTTTATAAAAGTTAAGAGTCAGCCACGCCCTCCTAAAACGGCTCGTTCTAACACGCCCTCACATATTGACATAATGTCCTGCCAAAATTAAAGTTATTACACAAGAACCAGCAACTAAAATAAATCTCTGCACTCACAAAGACATCAGATCAGCAATAATGGAAATAAATGTCTAATTAGGGAAAGTGAAAAGTCCAAAAGTCTGATGGCATTTTTCAAAATAGGCTGTCATTTTGACCTGTTCACTGATAAACTGCATATCCTGCAGTATTTAGAGATGCATGTTAATAAAATCAGTTACACACTTAAAAATAAAGGTTTTTATTGGTGTTGATTGTTCCATGTAGAACCTTTAACATCTATGGGACCTTTCAATTCCACAAAAGGTTCTTTATAGTGGAAAAAGTTTCTTCAGATTATTATTATAAAAATGGTTCTTTTAAGAACTGTTCACTGAAAGGTTCCTTGGGGAACCAAAAAATGTTCTTCTATTCAAAACCCCCTTTTGGAACCTTTATTTTTATAAATGTAGCAAACAGACTAGCAATACCTAAATTATTTATTCTGGCTACATAAAAATAGAGGTAACCTACATGTAACATTGAGTAAAAGCGGTCTGGACCGGTCTGTGCCGAGTGGGTTGCGGGCCACACAGAAGTATTCTCCATGGTCCCTGTAGTCCAAACTCCACAATCTCAGCTCAGGTTTAAAGCTGTCTGGCAAACTGCCACTCTCTCCTTCTTTAAACCAGGTGAAACTTTCTGCTGGCGGAGCTCCATCACTACTGCAGGTCAAAGTCACCGAATCGCCCTCCCCGACTGCCTCTCGAGGGGTGATTTGTACTGTGGTGTAGCGAGGAGCATCTGAGACACAGAGAAAGATAGAGACTAAATGCAAGTTCTAGGGCTGCTGACAGTAGAATTCAATTGAACACCCTGCTTTAATCACTGTATTTACAAGTTTTATGTATTTAATACACAACATTTAATGCACAGTTGAATCCTTGAGTAGCTTTTTCTAATAATACATGTATAAAATCAGCCAATTTAGATGTTACCACATGCAGCACATTTTAGACCTGTTTATACTATATCCAGTATTATTCAATAATGTTTTGTTGAATGTTTATTTCTGTTCTTATGCTCACCTTATTTGATCAAAAATGCAGTTAAACAGTTATATTGTGAATATTATACTTTAAAATAACTATTTTCTCTCAATATATTTTAAAATGTAATTTATTCCTGAAGCTGGGTTCAGTTACACATACAGAACTATTGTCTATATGCATGCACAATACTCACATCCAAGAGCCAGGGTGACTCCTGGTGACTGAACATTTTGAGGGGGTATTGGACGGCAGGTGTAGGTACCTGCATGCTGACTGTCAAAGTTATAGATGGCTGACAGCTTGTTGGACTGACCCAAGTTGATCCCATTCCGATAAAGGGCAAAGTTCCTGCCAGGAGCGGCACAGCCTCGGGCCACACAGCTCAGGAAGACCGTCTCTCCAGCAGCAAACATGTTGTCTGTTCTCGGTGGATGTACATGAACCTGAAGCTCTGGAATCAGGACAACATTTCACAATATTAGGTCCATGCGCCATACTAAATTATTTTAGGAACAAGCTGTTTTCCACAATTATATGCAAATAAACAACAACAAAAGGTGTTAATTTCTCCCTAATTACTAGATTTTCTACAGAAAAAGCGCAAGACTGTTGCTCCACTTTGAAGGTGTTGCCAGGCTGTTGCTTTGTGGTTACTAGTGTGTTTCTAAGTGGCTGTGTAAATAACACTCCTTCCACCACTGGTTGAATAGTCAGGTAGCCCTGCTGCCCCCCCCCCCCCTAAAAAAAAACACTGACTTACGCTACTATTCCATTCAAGACATTACAAATGTCTTTACTGTCCCCAAACTTTTGAACAGCAGTGTATAGTTGCATCTACATATTAAACTTGTTTTTATATTATTTAACACAAAAAAATAACCTTTAAAATGTGGCCTGACCTGTGACAGACAGTGTGATGGCATCAGGAGAGGTCCATCGGCCCTGCTGGTTGTCGGTCTCGAATCTGAAATGGTACGTTCCTGCATCGCTCAGCTTCGCGTTCGTGATCTGCAAACTGCATCTTTTGTGGCCCCCCATGTATTTGATCCTGTCCCTGTACGAGGGGCTCAACAGATTCCCATCAGTATGGTAGGCAACATCCCGTCTGCCCTCTGCAGAGATGTGAAACCACATGACCTGCGTAGAGCTGTAGGGCGAGGGGTAATCGTAGCGGCACGGCAGAGTTACTGTGGTCCCGGCCCAAACGCAGATGTCTGTCCTAGAGAAATACACCAGCCATTTACCTTCACCGACTCCTATAAGCAACACAAGAGTAATCAGAGGCCGGTATTGACCTTAGCAAGGTGTGCGCTGTTGACCCCAGGGATAAAAGCAGGGAAAAATACAGATCAATACAATATAAATAACCTGTGCACCAAGGGCACTCAGGTAATATAAGAGCACAGATTAGAGCTGCAATACGCAATCACAACCATTTTATTGTATTAAAAACATAAGATACCTGTCCAAAATTACCTGACAGAAGAAGGACAGAGGTCACAATTACACGTACCCACATCTCAGCCCTGTTTGTGAGTAAAAACAAGAAAGACTGTAAGTTACTTCAAGAGTAATCAAGAAATTGGTACCTGGTTTTGCTCTAACACTACCTGGTTCTGATGTTCTTCAGCGAGTGCTGCCAGTCGTCTGTGGACACATGGACACGCACATGTGTTGAAGAGGGAGCCGAATGGCATCAGAAGCACAGTGTAGGACGCTGAGCCAGAGAGAAAGCAGAAGTTGAAGGGTGGTGATAGGCTGGCCATCCCACTGTCTCACCTCCCGTCTCTCTGAGCCTCTAAACTCTGTCTCTGTCTCCAGTGAAACTCTACGCCACCTTCAGCAAGGTGCACGAGGCAATAACCACAAGTTGCTGACATCCACATCCCCTGTTCACACACACACACACACGTTATGGGGAACTGTGGCAGCAGAAAACTTTTAAAACACATTCACTTTGCTGCCTTCCTTAATCAAAAAGGATATACAGTTTACCCAAAGTCAATCTTTTCTTATGTTAAAGGCTCACAAAGTAAAAACAAGAAAGACTGTAAGTTACTTCAAGAGTAATCAAGAAATTGGTACCTGGTTTTGCTCTAACACTACCTGGTTCTGATGTTCTTCAGCGAGTGCTGCCAGTCGTCTGTGGACACATGGACACGCACATGTGTTGAAGAGGGAGCCGAATGGCATCAGAAGCACAGTGTAGGACGCTGAGCCAGAGAGAAAGCAGAAGTTGAAGGGTGGTGATAGGCTGGCCATCCCACTGTCTCACCTCCCGTCTCTCTGAGCCTCTAAACTCTGTCTCTGTCTCCAGTGAAACTCTACGCCACCTTCAGCAAGGTGCACGAGGCAATAACCACAAGTTGCTGACATCCACATCCCCTGTTCACACACACACACACACACGTTATGGGGAACTGTGGCAGCAGAAAACTTTTAAAACACATTCACTTTGCTGCCTTCCTTAATCAAAAAGGATATACAGTTTACCCAAAGTCAATCTTTTCTTATGTTAAAGGCTCACAATGTTTTCTTTGCCCTGATTTTTCAGACAGTTGTTTACAGTTTTATGATGTAGGGAACATATTGTTTTTAGGCTTAAAATGATAAATTATTAGCATAACTTCAAAGAATCGGCTTTGGAGGTGTCAAGAGAATTCAAAAATATTAAAAACCAAAAGTAACCACAGATTTTTATGAAAGTGAACCATGAGTTTACCACAGCAATCGTAGAGTAACTAATGTATTCACACTAAAACAGTAACCACAATCCTTCACTAAAATTGGTTTTACTACAGGAACGAGAGTTTAACTGTGGTATTTAATGTAAAATCATTGAAACCACAAGTAAAACTACCTTTTACTACTGGAACACTATTTTACTTGTGTGTTTATTGTGAAAGCATAGTAACCACAAGTAAAACCGTATTTTATTGAAATATAACCTACTAATATGTTACTATATTTTACTATAATATTTTACTAGTTTAAACTGAGGGATTTGTTGAAAACTCTTAGTAACCACAAGTAAAACAATCTTTTATTTAAATAAATTATGGTTTTACTTCAGGAACAAGAGTTGAAATGTAGTTTTTGTTGTAAAAGCAACCACAAGTAAATCTACTGGTTTTACTACAGGAACAAGACTTAACTGTAGTAGTTGTTGTAAAATCACAGTAACCATGAGAAAAAAAATATTTTATAGAGATTAACTGTGGTTTTACTACTGGAACACTATTTTACTTGTGTGTTTATTGTGAAAGCATAGTAACCACAAGTAAAACAATCTTTTATTTAAATAAATTATGGTTTTACTTCAGGAACAAGAGTTGAAATGTAGTTTTTGTTGTAAAAGCAACCACAAGTAAATCTACTGGTTTTACTACAGGAACAGGACTTAACTGTAGTAGTTGTTGTAAAATCACAGTAACCATGAGAAAAAAAAATATTTTATAGAGATTAACTGTGGTTTTACTACTGGAACAAGAGTTTAACTATGTTATTTGTTGTAAAACCATAGTAACCACGAGTATGTTTTATGGAAATTAACCATGGTTTTACTACAGGAACAAAGGTTTAACTGGTGTTTGTTGAAAACTCATAGTAACCACAAGCAAAACCTCCTAAAGGAAAATACATTTTGCTACAAGAACTATAGTGTAAATGTATTTGTGCTCATGGTTGTGGATTCATCAATGTAACTACGATTACAGCCTACAGGGTGGTATGAAGATATAAGATAATGCTTTTAAAACACCTCAGCGACCTCTTGAGGTATGAAATTGGAAATGCAGAAGAAAATTAAATAAAATACAATTAAGAGTAACATTCATTGAAATAGTACAGAATGTAGGGAGTTCTTTTAGTTTTACATCAGACCAAAATAAGTTATTAATATGCAAAGCAAAACTTGTTAGACATCTTACTTGATGGGTGTAACTTGAATTGCAAAACGAACTGGTTGCTGACAACATTTTGCATTAATAGGCTAACAATAAATAAGAAAATAGTAAACAAATCCCTAGCAGCTCAAAAATGAGTGTGACTTTAAATCTGTCATATGGGACACTGATATATTTTTGTCTGCTTACATCAACTTATGCACAAATATTCACATTTAGGCATATATGTTTTTCTTAGTCTTAAACTACAATAGCAGAAAATACAGGCCAAATGCAAAGTGATTCGTTAAAAGCAGTGACAATAACTGATTGAAAGGGGCCAAACAGAGGAAAGATGGCGATTCTCAATTGCTCTGTTTCTAAATTAGGCTGCACTATACTTTTCTGAGGATATATATATAAAAAAAAACTAGTCCTAGAAGGGACGTTGAAAAGAAGGACATTTAAAGAAAGTGCTACTTTACTGAATTAACTGCAATAAGCAGATGCACTTGCCATCAACATTAAAACATTTATGACATGAGATTGAATATGCCGTAGCTTCAGACAGAATTCAGCACACAAACGATTTTAAATGTAATGTAATTTAATTTAACAAAATAAAACAAAACAAAACATAAAAATGACAATTGTTTTTATAATAACTGTTCTGAAATGCGTTTCATGTTGTTTTGCTTGTAGATTTTCCGTGTTTATGAATATTAATTATTCTGCTTTGTAACCAAAAGTTAAGTACCCTTGTTAATATCCATAAACAAAATCGCTTCCGTTGTTTAGACGCGGTTATTTCACTTGTGCTGCACTTATCTGTATGGCAGTAAATCAAACGTTATTTTCCTTCAGGAGGCGCACTGGCGCTCAGGATGCCGAATACTCCATTGAGCGCCATTCAAAACTCAGGATATTTTAGTGCTTCGTTAGAGAAAATTGCACTGTAAAACATTTGCATATTTTAAATACATAAATTCCAAGGATTGTCGTCTGGCGTTTAAATGGAAATCCACCCCAGCAATCGCTAAAAAATGGTTTTTAAAATTACCTGATGAAGTCAACACAATCGACTGTGACTGGTTTATCCTGAACGGCGCTGAGAAAAGTAACACTTACCTCGTGACAAAATCTTATTTGCGCTGTTTTACCAGCGCTGTTGAGTAATATTAAATACAAGAATAATGACACTGAGAAATTACGATAGCACTGAATTGAAAATGCACAGTGGAAACTTCAAATAAGAAAATAACTATTACAAAACCAACAAAGAAAACAAATGCTCAGTCACTAGTCCCCTCCCTTTACGGTTTAAGCTAAATCCCATTCTATCCACTTGTTCAATGTCTACATTTAAAACTCATGGACCTGCTACATGTGACAACATGAGGAACTGAAGTTTCGCTCAGCGATGGACTGACAAGATCCACTTTTTCACTCTCAATAGCACCTGTCTCCCGTTTTGAGGTAAAGTTAAGATTTATGTCAAACCTTTATAGCGATGATCATTTATTTTCTATTTGTAGTTCAGGCATGCAGTTTGTTATTAGACCATAAGAAACATAACACGTACATTAAAAGTATAAAATATTAAGTGCAGTGAACCATTATGCCAGCGTTAAAGGGATAGTTCACCCAAAAATGAAAATGTAATGTTTATCTGCTTACCTCCAGGGCATCCAATATGTAGGTGACTTTGTTTCTTCAGTAGAACACAAACGAAGATTTTTAACACAAACCGTTGCAGTCTGTTAGTCATATAATGGAAGTGAATGGGAATCACGGCTTTGAGAGTCAAAAAACATACACAAACAAAACCAAATGAAACCCTGTGGCTCGTGACGATATATTGATGTGTAAAGACACGAAACGATCAGTCTGTGCAAGAAATTGAATAGTATTTATATTGTTTTTACCTCTGATTTACTGCAATGCCCGAACTGTCCTGAGCGAGTTCTTCTTCTTCTTGTTCTTGCTTTTAGGTGGATCGCAGACTTATAAGTGCATTACCGTCACCTATCTCTCAAATGGACCATTGACACTCTATCTACAATCTCAATTAGGAGTGTCAATGGTCCATTTGAGAGATAGGTGGCGGTAATGCACTTATAAGTCTGCAATCTGCCGTAAAAAGAAGAAGAAGAAGACGTGAACGCGCTCAGGACAGTTCGGACATTGCAGTAAATCAGAGGTAAAAAAACTATATAAATACTGTTCAGTTTCTTGCACAGACTGATCGTTTCGTGTCTTTACACATCAATGTATCGTCACGAGCCACAGAGTTTAATTTGGTTTTGTTTGTGTATGTTTTTTGACTCTCAAAGCCGTGATTACCATTCACTTCCATTATATGACTGACAGACTGCAACGGTTTGAGTTAAAAATCTTCGTTTGTGTTCTACTGAAGAAACAAAGTCACCTACATATTGGATGCCCTGGGGGTAAGCAGATAAACAATTTTCATTTTTGGGTGAACTATCCCTTTAATATTCAGATTGCTGTCGTGCAGTTTTGCGTTTAAAAGTGATGATGAGAAGGTTTGTATTTGATTTACCCTGACAGACAAATGAATGTTGTGTTTCAGGTTCTTTCACTTCCATCATGTTGCTTCATGTTCTGCTCCTCCTTCATGCATCGAAGCAGATAAACAATTTTCATTTTTGGGTGAACTATCCCTTTAATATTCAGATTGCTGTCGTGCAGTTTTGCGTTTAAAAGTGATGATGAGAAGGTTTGTATTTGATTTACCCTGACAGACAAATTAATGTTGTGTTTCAGGTTCTTTCACTTCCATCATGTTGCTTCATGTTCTGCTCCTCCTTCATGCATCAGGAGGAGCTTCTTCCTCCATCTCGTGTTACGATGATCAGGGGAAACCTGTAGACTGGTTTGTATGTTTTTAAATGGCCTAAAAACAGAAAACATTCAGCATATTGAGTCACAGTTGTAGAGGCACAGCAATTCATCTTTGTACACTTTCATTTATATAGGTTTTATTCAGTATTTTTCATAACAAATTCCGTAGTTTGAAGTCCTAGTGCTACAGTATCTTTTCTATGATTATGATGGGTAGCTGACATGTCAAGCAGTGTCCAGTGCACACTATTGTTCAAAAGTTTGCCGTCAGTAAAATGTGACAGTAAAGACATTTATAATGTTAGAAAGAAATTTATTTCAAACAAATGCTGTTCTGTGAACTATCTATTCATCAAAGAAAAGAAACTGGATTCCGCCAAGATATTAAGCAGCACAATTGTTTTCAACATTGATAATGATTAGAAAGGTTTCTTCAGCAGCAAATCAGCATATCAGAATGATTTCTGAAGGATCATGTGACACTGAAGACTGGAGTAATGATACTGAAAATTCAGCTTTGATCACAGGAATAAATTACATTTTAAAATGTATTCAAATAGAAAAAAAAAATCGATTGTAATAACATTTCAAAATATCACTGATTAAAATAAGTAGTCTTGTGACCATAAGTCATAAAAAAAATTTGAAAACTGACCCCAGACTTTTCAATGGTAGTATACTTCAGCTAAAAGTAATTTTAATTTTTTTTTAATTATTACATTTATTTTCTAATTATTATTTGTGCAGTCTCATGACCTTATATTAATTAAACTAATTGTTTATTCATAACAGAACAATTTAAGTAAACAAAATGGCTACTTAATGTAACAATACTCGTATTAATATTAATAATATAATATTTTTATAGTTCAAATGTAATATAATTTATAATAGGGTAATTCTTTTCTTAGTTAAATTTATATAGAGAGATATTTTATTGTTTTAACTATATGTATTAATATTTTTATAGAACAAATGTAATATAGGTTAATTATTTTCTCTCTTAATTTACAGTAGATAGATATTTTATTGTTATGTTTGGTGTAGGATTCACTTTGAACGTTTTCACGCAGAAATTGCTAGTAAAGTTCACAAATAACTACACAGAAACCATAAGTAACATTGAATTTAACATGAAAGTTTGAAGTAGAAAAACTGAAATGGTGTATTTTCTTGTAACACATATTTCTATAATATTTGTTTTATTTACAAGAAGAATTAAATCTTTTACAGTGTGGGTTAATACATAAATATAATCGATGTAAAATGTAATCATCGATGTGAAGGGTCATATTTCCCTTATTTCTGTCTCTCCTTACCAGGTTTTACTTGTACAAACTCCCACATCCTCATCATGAGCCTGTGCAGGAGGGGCTGAAGTATCTTTTCATGGATGGAGAGAGTGAAGGATGGATGGATGGGAAGACTTTAGTTAATGACAGTCAAAGTGCTGTTGGTCGAACAGTAGGACCTTTATATGAGGTACAAGTCGCACTCTTTACATAATATAAAGTATCTAAATTTAAAAAATGAAATGTTCAGTTTTGCTTAAACCAGCTTCTGTTCTTCTTTCATTATTAGTAATTTTCTGGCTGATTTTAGAGAAGCTTACTCAGCTTATCCTGTTCTGTAGTCAGCACATTTTTCCAGGTTTGCAGAAGTATAAAAACACTGAGTTTGCATTTACATTTAATTATAAATCTATTTTAAATCTATTGAGCTTTAGAACCACATTTAAAAGTGGCACAAATCAGATACCAAACAAGTTTTTGCTGTTTACGCTTATGCAGCAAGCTCAAACTGGAACTCAAAAGTGTATTTATAGCTTTAGGTGCACAGGCATATTTCATAATAAAAGAGGAACTCATGCTTTTGATCACATGCTCATCATAAGGGCCTCTGATCTGCTGTCTCATACAGTCAAATTTATTATGAAGAAGCTTTGAGCTTTAACTTTCTTCCAGGGTGGTGATGTTGGATACATTTTATATAATGATCAGCCACCGCAAAAACAGAAGCTTTTTGGAGATGCAACCAGGTCTTGTGGCCACACCAAAGGTGCAGTTTTAGTGCAGTTAACTGCTTGAAATTATATTAATGGCACACAAACAAACATTTATGGAGTGTTAATGTATACACTTTTTCTTTGTTCCAGGAGTTGTTGTCTTTGATAAACAACAAGGCTTCTGGTTGGTCCACAGCACGCCTCATTTCCCCCCTCCTAAATCACAGGGACAGTTTTCATACCCCGCTTCTGGCATAAGTAATGGACAGAACTTTATCTGTGTCACATATCCTTTTGAGCGCTTTCAGACCATAGGTACGACTCCCAATGCATTTAATAAATTAGTGATGGTTAAAAATTGGCTTTTTGCATTGCAAGTGAGTCTAGTCCACCCAAAAATTTAACTACTCACCTTCATGTGGTTCCAAACCGTTAGGACTTTCTTCCACAGAACATAAAAGAAGATATTCTGAGGAATGCTGGTAAGCAGTTTTGGGTCCCATTGACTTCCATTGTATTTTCTGTCTGTACTGTACTATGGAAGTCAATGGGAACCAAAATGTTTGGTTACCAAGATTCTTCAAAATGTCTTCTTTTTACAATGACATGAGCTAGGGTGAATAAATGCTGACAGAATTGTTATTTTTGTGTGGACTATCCCTTTCTAGTTTGTGACTGTGAGTATGAATCAGGGGGTGTATTACAGAAAGTTTCTTATCTTAGGTCTTAACTTAAGATGTGATATGTTAAATTAGGATTTTTCAGAAATTCGTATTACAGAAGCAAATCTTAACTTGATTTGGGATTCTTATCCTATCTTACAAAATCGTATCTTATCTCTAGTTAGGAAATCTTAAATTGCATTATCAAGCTCGACAATCCACTCTCAGGTCTGTTACCAAGAAACCAACACTGCACGAGCTGCTGATGAAGTAAACAAAATAATAGAAGCTACTTCACTTTGAAAATCGCCTTTTGCAAAAAAACGTAACACCGTGTCTACACCGGACGCAACAGCTGTCGTGTCGCGCCGCTCCGCGCCGCAACAGCTAAAGTCTGTCTACTGTACACTTGACGCGACAAAGCGACCGTTGAAAATCATTTGAAATTAATTTGTCAGCACGTCATAAATAGAAAGCGGCAATAAACCAGCAGTTTATTGTTGGGGATCTGTCGTTGTGCGCCGCAACCAGTGTTGACAGCATCACTGATTATAATGAGTTCTATAGTAGGCTATTTTGTCGCGCCGTGCCGATTGCGTCCAGTGTAGACACGGTGCAAGGCATTAGTCACTTGCACTATAATCGGTGATGCTCCGTGACGCTTTGTTGGTCTCTGTAATGCTGGTTG